ATACCATAATAATCATCATTTCCATCACTATATTCTTTATATAAATTGGGATACTGCTCCAATAATTTGTTACGAAAATAAGCACGGTCATGAGTTTGTATACTTATCTGAGGCGTGGATGGGATCTTAGTTTCTGGAGATATATTATTCGCTAATACACTTCCTACAGTTTCCAATATAACCTTTTCAGGTCGAGAGGTGGAAGGCATACTTACCTCTGTATTAGTCTGATCGTTACGATTTGTGATATTATCTGAGCTAGGTTCGATCACATTTCCGTTCCAATTTGGAACGCAAATCATATTTGTATCAGTTGACTTTTTGGGGAAATCATTTATAATATTTTGAATTTGGATATCTTTTAAACTTGAAATAGCGCTAGCACTGTAAGTTACTTGGCTGATTATATCTATTCCTATTCCTTCAATTAATATATAGATTTTTTTAGCTCTGGAAGTTATTTTACGTAAATTTACATCAGTAATTTCTGGTAGAAGTGATTTAATTTCATTATATACCAATGTCCTTGCAGATTTGTCGTCAATATTATTCATAGACTTAATATACCCGATTTTATCCTCATATGCTTTATAATAACAATACCAGTATAAAATCTCCTTTTGTCTAACCTTCATTGCTACATTAAACAAGTCAACTATATTCTGCACCGTAATTTTACTAGATCCTGTTAGAATTTCTTCTAAAGAGAATTCTGGAATCTGAATATCAAATGATTTATCAGCAAAGCTGGCACGGCCAAATATAACCAAAGTATCGGGTGAGTTAATTTTACTATCATTATTATTGGCGCAAATAAATAATTCACATCTCAAGCCTTGTTCGACTTTTTGATTATATGGAACTTTTATTTTAGAAGAAATAGTATTTTGTGCCTGATTAATAGGTATTACATCAGAGGTCCGAGGTTCCGATTGAATAATCTTATGGTCATGGGAAGTTTCAGTCACAGGATTTATTTTGGATGGAATGGCACTTTGATCTCGAAGTTTCTTTTCCTTAATGTTCTGTATTATTTCGTTACTAACCCTTTCCTTATACTTTAAATCCACGAATTCATCAACTTCCTTTTCTTCCACTGATATAGAATCGTTACTAGATATAATAGCAATTGTGTTTGCTATCTGTTCGGAGTGGTTCTCAATGGGCGGTGAGGTAGATAGTGATTCTATAGGATCAACTTTTTGGGCCTGAGAGGTTACCGGTAATTCTGAACAAGCTGAGGACTGCGAAATATCTTCAATAGAAGGTACGTCCTATATGTTAGTAATGACTTGGGTTTGTTTCTTGATTTCTTCGAGATCGTGCCTTAATTTTACTACTTTAGTTTTAAGTTCAGTATTCTCGGCTTCACGCCTGGCACTTTCTTCTATCATCTGTTTTAGTTTTGTATTCTCATCCTTAATTTCAGTGTTCTCAGCTTCAAGTACAATAATTCGTTGTTTCAATAATTCTAATTTTGACATGATTAGATATTAACAGTTTTATATAGAAAACAGATTTATTCAAAACTTAGAGTTAATTAGGATATATGTATAAGTAATAAAAATTTTTGCGAAGCTAGTACAAGGTGCCATGTCAACACATGTCCGTGACAATTTGTCACGCAGATCACTTTTGCCAAGAAAATTTTTTAGACCGAAATTCTTTACTAATGGGCACAAGTCTGATAAAACACATGATATTAGCCGTGCCAACTCTGCTGACACACAATGCCT